ATTAGGCTATAGGATATTTAACAGGGCTGCTCTTTTCACTACACGGGGCTAGAAAGATGGAGATCAGGATGAATTATGTTAATTTCGCACGAGACCTTTGGCATTCCTGGGAGTTTGATCTTCCCACCCAGAAACCCCTCTACTTCCTTGTCCTGCCCACGAGGCCAGCGAAAAAGCAGCTTTCTTGAAATCACCTGCCGTCCCAAACCCCCCCAACTCCCCCCTTCTCTGATCCCGGGGAACGAAGCAGTGCTCACCATGCAATTTAACTGAATGGAATGTCCTTGTAATGTTTGGTTCTTTGATTTTGCCTTATCGCTCTGTCTCTCTCACTCTTTGTATCTCTCTCTCTCTCTCTGTTCATCAATTACTCCTTACTCCCATTTGTTACGCCATACAAACGTCCTTTATTTCTTGCTCTTTACAAACTTACTCCTTTCTACGGAGAGAGGGGTGGTGGTGAAAATATTTTAAACCAATCGATCAAATAAATTATCTATATAAGCTACAAACCCTCTCCAGTCGATACCTCCACTTCAAAAAAAAAAAAAACCAAATACTCTCAGGGGGAACGACAAGAAAAACACTCAAGTCTTGTGGCACTTTTTAAGACTTTACGAATTTATTTCCGATAGAAATAAATTTATTTCCTGCTCCTTCCGACCCGAGAAGCCAAGAAATGCCGGGTGATTCGAGGGAAATCCACATTGTAGTAAATTCGCTCGTCTTCAGGCTCGTGAATTAGTCTGTCTGTCTGTCTGTCTGTCTGTGAGAAAGCGGAGAGACTCCTTGCCATTCGGATCTCTGGATGCTTTTCTTATTGAACCTCGGCTTCTCCCTCAACGGGAGGGTCTAGCTTTCCCGGCTGAATTTCCGCCTGACCTCCGTCCTCCCCCAGCCCCCTCCCCGCAGCGATTGCTTTCCTTCCTGATGGGGGCCGTTTAGAAGAAATTCCTTACACTTGATGGGACTGCTTGCATATTTTTTTTTGCTCTTTTTTTTGTTTTTAAAGAGCAACTGTTCGTAAAAAAGAGACAACGTTCGTGGATGGGAGAATTCTCTCTTTCCCAAAAAATCCCACTAAATATTTTTAGTGTACTGTTACTGGAAGAGAAGGGAGGGTCAGCCACTTTTTGGGATTTTACACTTCAAATATCCCGACCCTCACCATATCAGAAGCGACGCGGTGGGACATTTAATCGCCACTGACTGATCATTTTTATTCCCTCGGATTGATGATCTACTTACGGATCTACATACCCATATTTTTCAGGCTTAGAGCTCACAGGAAGGAGTGTTTGAAAAAAAAAAAAGAGAGTTATTAAAACCTTCAAAAAGGACCCCCAAGAATATGCCAGCAAATCTGGAAGGAAAAGCAATCACTTACAGGAGAGAAATGATCCTTTGCATTCTCAAAGGACATTCCAAAAGAACGGAAAAGCCAAAGGCTCCAGGAAAAATCAAAACATTCTATTCATCTGCCATAGAATTAAATGCTCCCCCCAAAAAATCACAAAAAATTCTTAGTCATTTATGGAGTGAGAAGTATCAGATATTCAAGCAGGGTTCAGAAAAAGAGCTTTCTCAGTTGCTGCTGCCGGACTTTGGAACTCCCTCCCACTGGAGGCCAAGTTCACCCCATCTTGGCTGTCCTTCTGCAAGCAGTTAAAAGACATTTCTCTTCAGGCAAGCTTTCCGTGAGCAAACGGCTCATGCTTTTTTTTAAAAAAATAGACTACTGTTCCTCACTGCATGGAATATGTTTTGGTGTTACATACATTCTTTGGCATTGCGCTGATTGATCCTTTTAATAACTTGCTGTAACTAATTTTAAATACTTTTTAACTGTTGTTAGCCGCCTTGAGTCCTTTTTAAGGAGAAAGGCAGATTGCAAACATTTTAAATAATTGAGCAAACGGAGTGCCAGATCACAACATTTGTCACATGAATTTATGATTTCCAGTTCTGTAATTAGTATTATTGCAGTTTTTTTGTTTTTTAAAAAGGGCAAAATGTGGAGGAGGAGTCCTGCCTGGTGCCTTGAATTCACTGGATAAATGTACTGGACAAATTTACTGGATAAATACAACTTAAAAAATTGAGGTGGGGGAGGTGTCTTTCCAAAGTTATTTGGTTCAGTTTTCAGAGCTACAGAGTCTCTTCCTGTATTGCAATAAAATCAGCGAAGAACCCGGGCCCAAGTTTAAAATCTCACTATAATCTGAGTTTTGCTGGGCTGCTGTGACGCCACGCCATTGGGTGTGTCCAGAATTTCACAAGATTAAAGACTGGCTGCAGAGGTTATTGATTATATGAATAGGACTGGAGATTTGAAAGGGGTCTTATAAGAAGGCCCCTATATATGCATTTATTTATTTATTTTTCTCCTGTAGTGTTGGTGAACAGCTGTTTAACTCAAACAAAATTGTAACATAAGCTGTGTATGGAACAGCCTTGTGGCTTGCAGTTCACCACCAAATCATGCTTCTGAATCATATGGGGTTCTTGTGTATGGAACACCCTGTTAGCCTTGTGGCTTGCAGTTCACCACCAAATCATACTTCTGAATCATATGGGGTTCCTTCGTTAATTTATTCCTTTCTCCCATGCGGGCTTGGTTAGGAGGAGAAATGAAAAAACATGCACAAAGTCACAAAGTCAGTGACACTATTGAAACCCTGGATTCTGGATAAACACAGCAACTCCCCTTCCAAAGGATCTGCCTCATCCTGAGCTATGAGAACAAACTCTGCAATTAATATCTTCAAGGTGCCACCAGGAGTTTTTGCATTGTCTTGTTTTCAAAATTCAGAAACAGAATTCCAATGATAAAAATAGAACCACGAATCTGAGGACACATGGGGGTCTGAGTGTTTTTCCAGAGAAGATATCCTTCCTGAATTAGCCCTTGAGCTAATAAAACTAAGAGATCATGTGCTCCCACCCCATGGAC